CCGGCGCGCAAGCTGCGGATAGTCGCTGGTGACGAAAAGCACTATTTTACTCTCCAGGAGGATAATACAGATCTGCGTGTAAATGACAGGATAGACCGAGAGAGCATCTGCGGGGCCGTGTCGCCCTGTGTCCTCAGTTTGGAGGCAGTCGTGGAAAACCCTTTCGATATATTTCATGTGAGTGTTACTATCCAGGATATCAATGACAATGAGCCACAGTTTGACAGAGAATTTGTTACCATAGAAATAATCGAGTCGACGCTTCCTGGGACCAGGTTCCCACTGGGCAGTGGCAGAGACCCTGACATTGGGGCAAACTCTCTACAGAACTACGAACTTACTCCCAACCCATTCTTCTCCCTTTTAGTGAGGGAGAGCCCGGATGGGACAAAACACGCTGAACTGGTCTTGGAGAAAGCCTTGGATCGAGAAAAACAGAGAAATCACCATTTGATACTGACGGCAGTGGATGGTGGGGATCCAGTTCGATCTGGGACCGCCCAGATTAAGATTAACGTGACCGACGCAAATGACAACCCACCGGTATTCACCAAAGAAATCTACACTGTTCGACTGATGGAAAACTTGCCAGAGGGCTCCTTAGCGTTTCAGGTGAAAGCTACTGACAGTGATGAAGGTACAAATGCAGAAATTACCTACTCCTTCAGCGACATAGCAAAAAATATCCTCAAGCTCTTCACTCTGGACCCTAGGACAGGGGACGTGAGGGTTACAGGACCCTTAGATTACGAAGAAAGGAAATACTACGAAGTGAGTGTTGAAAGCAAGGATGGGGGCGGGCTCACTGCACACGCCAAAGTACACATAGACATTATAGATGTAAACGACCATGCACCGACCCTTTCCCTACTGCCTATCTTGAATCCGATACCGGAGGACTCAGTCCCGAGCACAGTTGTAGCTGTGATCAATGTACGTGACAGAGATTCGGGAGAAAACGGAGAGGTGAGCTGTAAAATGAACGAAAATTTGCCCTTCAGATTAGAAATGTCATCTGAGAACACATACAAACTAATAATAGCCAGTGCCCTGGACAGAGAAAACGTCTCCGTTTACAACATCACCATCACTGCCACGGACCGGGGCAAGCCGTCGCTGTGGAGCAGCAGGGAGCTGGTGCTGGAGGTGTCGGACGTGAACGACAACGCGCCGGTGTTCGAGGAGGCGGCGTACAGCGCGTACGTGGCGGAGAACAACGCGGCGGGCGCGCTGGTGCTGCGCGTGCAGGCGCGGGACGCGGACGCGG